CCCCCCGCAGCCCAGGTGCAGGCCAGGCGCCCGGCTTCCCTGCTGGCTCCTCTCCCCAAGGCCACGTCCCCGGCGGTGGCCGCGTCCCCGGAAACTCATGCTCCGACCTCTCTCCCCAGGGAAGGAAAGCCCTCCCGTCAGTGACACTCCGGACGACGGCGACGAGCCCATGCCCGTCCCGGAAGACCTGTCCACCACGTCCGGAGGGCAGCAGACCTCGAAGAGCGACAGAGGCATGGGTGAGTCGCCCTGCTGCTGGCCCCGCGCCGCTCAGCCTGTTCCCATGAGCCCTCCTCTCCCTCTCCCCCCAGAGACAGCGAGGAGGCTGTGGGGTCGTTCCCTCTGCTGCCCTCAGCCACGCGGGAGACACAGGGCGCAGATCAGTAGGACGGGGCCTTTTTTAAAAATTTAGTTCAGTGATTAATTGTACAGACAGACAAGGACCGTGACTAAAGCCATTTGATGTAGATGGGCCAAGAAAAGACGTGTCCCTATGAATCTCTCCCCCCATTAGCAAAGGGCTCCTGTGGGCGAGAGAAGCATTCGGGGGCCTCCGCTCTGCTCACGCTTCATTCCGGGGGCTCCCGAAGCTGGCCCGCAGAGCAGGCTGGGCGACGGCCGACGCGTCTGTCGTTAAGATCGTCTCCCGTTAATCCCAGCGATGCTGGGCCATCCTGCACCATGCAGAACAAGTAGGGTCGATTCGAGAGTCAAATCTAACTAAGCATAAGCCAGGGAGGTGCATGGGCTTGCCCAGGTGGCCCGCGAGAAGCCCGCCTTGTCCCGTCGGTCCAGTGCTCGGAGCAGCTGATGGGACGGGCCCTGTTCCCTGCACTTTCACATCAACACACGTGCTCTTAACTTATGCACGACCCAGAGAGGGGCTCAAGGACCGAGGGCCAGAGAAACTGTGTGGATGCCTAGCCACTAACCATCACGAGCCGAGCGCAGACGTCACGGTTAGGGCGCTGGGGGTCATTACGGAGGAGCTGTCCCCAGAGTCCCCCGCAGCCTGTCGGTGTCACCAAGACATCCCTCAAGGAGCTGAGCCAGGCTAATTCCCGAGGGCTGGGGACAGCACACAGGTGACCAGCCACGTTAGAAAGGCCTCCACACGCTCTCAATGTACCACCCTGATGAACATGAGAGGGTTGGTGGTTCGCCCCCGGGGAGAGGCCACCCACCTCCTGGCAGGTGCCTCTGACTGTCCCCAGGCTGACTGTGTGCCCCAGGGGAGCTCTGAGCTGCAGGTAGTGCCCACACCAGCGCAGGGACAGCTGCGGGTAGGGGCCGGCTCGCCATCGCCTGAGACCTCCTGGGCGCCTGGCCACGTGTGACAGGATTCCCATCTTCTCCTTTCACGATAAAGTTCATAAAAAGTGAATCTCGGGGTTTAAATTTTAAAACACCTGAGAAGCCTCTGTTGGCTTGTGCCCAGCAGCTGGCGTGGGCCCCGGAACACTGTCGGGGAGCAAGGGCTCCCATGGGGGCTGGAGGCCCACGGGGGTCGGTCGGCCACGGCAGGGAAGCCACAAAGCGCAGACGCACAGGTGACACTCGGCCACTGGCGAGGGGACAGGTTTCAGGAGAGAAGGGAGCGAAAGGCCCACCGAGCAAATCCGCCCTTGCCTGGCACCTGCGTCCTAGAAGCCGTCCTTTGCGATTTGGGGTGGGGCTCTGTTAGCATGTGGGAGCTGATCACGTATTTGACGCGTAATGTGTCGCTGGAGGCGAGCTGAGTGTGTGGCGAGCTGGGAGACCGTGTAAAGGTGGGGAGTCAGCAAGTTCAGGGGGAGGGCTCCCGGGAGGAGCCCCAGAGCGTGGGAGCGGGCGGAGGGCAGGAAGGAGAGCGGCCGCCCTGCGCAGGGGCGGTGGGGCCCGAAGGGAGGCGCCTGTGGGGACAGGGCCGGGCCTGCTGGGGGCCTGGCCGAGCCCAGGGGGCGCCGCAGGCTGAAGGCCGCGCCCAGGCCCCTCTCTGGTCACACCCCTCCGGGCCCGGGGTTCCTCGTTTTAAAGTGGCAACAGCCACAGACGCGTCCGCAGAATGGCTCGGGGTTAGGGAAAGACGTAACCGAGCTTCGCGGAGGACACAGAGCGTGAGGAGGGCAGGACCGGCCGGAACGGTGGCCGCTTATGCGGAGCGGGTCCCCCCTGGGTGGAAAGGGTGGAGGAGGCCGGGCGGCCTCGCCCGAGAGGAGGGAGGGAGAGCCGGCCGCGGGGGTAGCACCCGGATGGGAGAGGAGCAAATTGGTCTTAAAATGACCCGTGGAATCAGCAAACTGAAAACAGAGCGAGGCGAGAAGGACGGAATCACTTAGAGGGAGGCGGGGCCGAGAGAGCTGAGGTGCTGGCCACCCCGGGCTCAGCCGAAAGCCAGGGGCCCTCGCTGTTTCCGAGGAAATACCGGGAAACGGGGAGGGGCCGGCAGGTGGGAAAAGGTGGGAAAACACTCGGAAATATCAGCCCCCTGGGGTGTCTGTTTGATGACGAGACAGGGATACTTTTGAGAAGCTCCGAGCTCGAGACAAATCTAACCGCAGCCGGAACAGCTACAGTTACGGACAGATCGGTGAGAAAGCGCAGAAATCAGATGAGAGGGGCACTCGCGCTGACTCGCGGACCTTGGTTTCTCACCTCCTCGCTCCACCCGGTGTTGAAGGGACGCCCGTGGGACTGTGGAAGTACGTTCGCCTGGATTTAAAAAGCAAACAAACCAACCAGCAACCCACACGCCTGGAAAACAGGTGTCGGAGAAACGAGGCCAGGGCAGGCTGCGGCCGCCTGGGGCTCCGCTTTCTCCTGGGCCCGAGCAAGAGGCGAGAAGGAAGGAATTACTTAGAGGGAGGCGGGACCGAGAGAGGGCAGCTGGGGGGATGTAAGTTAGACTCAGAGAGCACCTCCGCGGACTCGGCCCTCGGCCCCCGGCAGAGGCGAGAGCTGCTCCTCTGAAGTGGTCTCTTTAAAAATGAGAGTCGCACCTCTCTGAAGTGGTTCTGTGCGAAACTGCGTCGCGCTGGGGGTGCACTCGGTGACCTCGAGGCGCCCCACACCCACTCAGTCAGCCCGGCAGGTGTGGGAGCGGGGGGGGGG